TCATACTTATTTTCTTTTGTGGTTCTTCTCAGCTTTGAGCATTCATATCTCACAAATCTGAAGGCTGTTAAACCCACAGCAGGTTTAATATTAAACTCTGACTATGTTAAGGATGAGGTTAAAAGGTGTTAGAGAACCGTTTTTTTCTCAGCTTTGGTGCCAGTTAGAGTCCTACTAGTTCTAAGTTCTCGGTCTCTGCCTCAGTGAGACAAAATCTCAAAACAACTTGTACAAAGACTGAGTGGCAGATACGAGGGAATCCAATCACCACCTGGGAACTGGCATAGCAGAGCTTGGTTTTCTAGGTGAGTCACTGTGATGCAGACCAGACAGGTTATAGGATCTTCAGTTCTGGAGAGTAAAAGAATTCAGTATCTCCTGGAAGCAATGGAAATCAAGGCCATGGGTAGAGACCATTATATGAAATTATCAGAAAAGCTAGGTTCATAGGAAAGATTAGGCTGCCAAATATGACTTGTTGAAGTTACTTTAAGATGTCAGGGAAGATAAATCCCAGGATGGCAACACAGGCTAGAGCAGCGTATGCTTTGTATTTAGAAGGCTTTGTGACCACACCTGTTTATAGCCCCTTTGAGCAGCAAGTCAAGTATTAAAGTATTTGCTTTTCCATCAAAAATATTTTTCTGGGTCTGGTGTAATTTAAAACTTTACAATATATAATTTAAGACAATCATGTTTAAGTACATATGTGGTAACTGCTGTTATTCTAGAAAGCAGATGCCAGTGTACCGCAATTTTTGGGTTACGCTAACATTTCCATTCAGCATCCTGCTACTCAGAACATTGAACACTTGGCCATTCCAAAAATTGTTGAAGCCTAGTTTACAAAATCTGTCTTAAAAATGCCACAGTAAACTCTGAACATATTTTTTAAATAAATACTTTAAAAGAGGAAAAATAATAGCTTTTATCTCTTTCAAAATATATTTATTAAAAAAGTCATAGTATGCTTTAAGAAAAAAATACAGCTTAGTTGAATCTATAGGCTATTTTTTACTCCCTGAAAACTATTGACAATACGAAAATGTTACAAATGTTTGAAATTCAACATCTTGAATGGCAGAAATATTGGAAGGGACCAACAGGTAGGACATGCTAAAAGTATAGACAAGCCTTTTTTTATATATAGTTTAGCGTATAGATAAGAAGAGATTCCATGCATTTGTATGTGTTGATAAATAGTTAGTGATGAACAATTTAGTAAGCTCTATTTCCATAAGATTTTTATCACACAGTTATATAGCACTTGGTGGTATACCAGGTAGATAACAGGAGTTTCTGACTTTTAAATGAGTCAAATATAACATGTACTGTCAACAGACTGTTAAAATTCTTATTAAAAGTCACAGTTAAGCTCCCTGTTATCACTGTCATAAATCCTCATAAGCTTTACACAATACGTTTCAAAAAGGCATACTTATTTGCATAAATTTCGTGCAGGTTTCACATGACATTGCTTCTCACTACTCTGACAGTTCTTCTGTGGTTTTAAAAGTTTGCAAAAAACAGGGTTTTCTTTTACAAATACACAGATTTTCAATGTTTACAGCACAAAATATGTAGAACCACCAAAATCCATGACAGACTTTTTGCTACACCTTTAAGCCAAGAATTTCAAGAGATAACTGTGTTCTTAGAGAGCTTTGAATAGTGTATGTTGAAGTGGATAACTTAGGAAGAGAAATGAGGCAATTAATTGAACTAATAAAAGAAGAAAAGAAACAAGAGCTTCAATTTCTACGCACATTAGGTCACAGAAATGCAGAACTATTATGGTAGTATCTGAAAGCAATGTTTTGCTCCAGTGGGAGAAAAGCTGCTTTGCTGTATAGACTCCAGAGGACAGAGTTAAGGTCATGTGGTCATTTTGATCTTCAGCCACTGTGTTTTTAGTCTGCTAACCCTGTTGATCTAGTACTTGGGTAGAGAGAGAGTGGAAAAGACACTATCAAAATAGAACTTTAAAATTTTTATTCAAGCTGCAAAAACACTCGGAACTATCAAATGCTGAAAGCAGTTGCTTGACTCATGCTTATACATTACAAGATGATCATTGATACAATTATCTATTTTTTAAAGCGAATCCCTGTTTTACTTAGCGTATAAGAAAGCTTACACTGACAGAGAACCAAGACTGAGTAATGACAGAGATGGTTGGCTGAAAACCTGAGTCTTAAGGTTGTTCTTTCACCATGTTTATGCAATTTCTTTAATTTTTAAAAAGAAAGCTGAAAAACAGAAACTTCACTGCATTAATGTCTACAAGGGCTGCCAGAAAGGCTGCAACCTGTAGATCAGCAAATTTTAACCATTTTCAGTTTGTGATTCCCTAACGCTCCAGTTGATGTGGGGAGTCCTTATGATGTTTTTTACTCGCTGGAAATAGGCCTTTTCCTTTTCTCAATCAATCAGCTGTAAATCTGATCACAATTTTGATGCTTGAGCTAATGAAGTGAGGGATAGCAATGATAGGCTGCTATTCTAAGTGTGGACCAAAGGTACAGAAACATGAGATACCATGTCAGTGACTTTCATGGGTCCCAGGAAAGGGATGGTGAGATTGGTTGAACTTGACGTGTTATTCCATGCTCCAAAGTGGGCTTGGCACTAAAGCATTAGTAATTTCTGCCCAGACATGTTGTTTTTCTCAGAAGCCTGACTCCTTTTTAGGATTCTTTTCTAGTCTTTGCTAAACATAGATTTTTGCTTCTTAACTCAAACATCCTTCCACTTGTCCTGCTATTTTCTAGTTACGAGAAAGGTAACTTTTCCACCCAGACTTTTTGACCCAGCGTTTACGTAGCCTTGGTTTTGCCTGTAGATTTCCTTCCTTGGCTCCAAGTCAGTTTTTTGACCAGTCAGTCCAAACTACAGTCCCCTACCACTCCCTGCTCTGCATCAACATCCACTTCTAAATCCTGTTCTGTTGCTTTTTTCACTATGTTCTTCTGGTGTCCTACATTCAACTCTTGCCCTGTCTGCCTTTGAGGAAAGTATCTTCTCCTTTGATGCTTGCTGGGCAAAAAAAAATCTCCCTCTCCCTTCTGACATCTGCCCTTCCATCCCAGATGGAAGCAGCCTGGAAATAACTATGTTAAGAAAAGCCCAGAATCCTCCCTGAATATATGGGAAGACAGCACAATACCATGCTGGGGACAGTGAATGAACCATTCAAATGTGAGGAGAAGATGCGCAGCCCATTGTTTTGTGTGAATGGTATACAGACTGGTGGCTTTAGAAACGGGGAGAAGCTTGAGTGTGCTCAGTCAGAACAAAAACTTCTGTGATTTTTGTGGTCAAGCTTTAGTAAGCTTCTAGAGAGTTCAAGCAGATTGGATTTCTCCAAGAATTACAGTATGGGTGGTTTAGCATATGGATAGCAAAAAGCACATTAGTAACACAAGGACCACCCTTTTGCCAAATGTCAAGTTCCTGCTCCAACATATGAGGGTACAAGGGCCGCCAAAGTAAAGGTTACAATACTGTGTTTTTAATAGCAAAAAATAGCATGTTTTTCTCTTGCTTCAGAGCAGAAACATTTTGGTCCAATTTTTCCAAAAGATTTCTTCATGAGGCAAATGCCTTGCATGGAAAATTTCAACCTAAGCGGTTAGTTTGGCAAAAGTAGAAGCAGGTAGGTCTTATAACAGAAAATGTTTGCAGCCTTAATATGAAGAAGTGGTACCAATCCGGTTCATAATTTATTCCGTAACACCCTATTGCAGGCTGATGAACATATTCAGCTGTTTGCAAGGCCAAGTTTTCAGCTTGGACAGCATGAGCGTTAGCTCCAATTGGTCCTGACAAGTTTGTTGACCGCAAAGATTCTCTTTTAACCACAGTCTTTTTCTAGTTTTTCGTGGTGTAGCTGATTGTGTGGTAGAGCTATACCATATTTTGGAAAGTCCTTTACCTGAGTTTGGCACATCCTGTTCCTGGTGATTTCGACAGAGATGAAATGAAGGGAAAGATGGCTTTGGAAGCTTCTTGTCATGACTGAAGGTAATTTTTGAATCCTTTTTACTCTTTCATGAAGATGCTTTCTATTTTTGTGGGGTTGATCTATTGGAGGGAAAATGAGGTCATCCACATTGCCAAATATATGAGATAAGCCCACTGTATATCACAGTGGTACCAAGACTGAACAATGCAGGCCACTAGTACGTAGGTTTCTTCATTTTTTCCATTAGATGGTCAGGATAACTGCGGTCACTGACCATAGGTGTTAAAAGACTTTACATTCTCAACACTGTGCTGCCTGTAGCAGGTCTACAAAACTTACCTTTCATATGGGATCTAGTCAGTCCAGTTACTTGGGCATATGCATTTCCTGCATGTGTAGCCTCTTCTTTCTCTGAGCTGATATTTTAGGTGTAACAAGAACACACAACACTGGTAGTCTTTCAAAGTTTTCGTGCTCGACTGTGAACTTGAAGGGTATTATTTTCTCACTGCTTTACTTGAAGAACTAAACTTCCGAAATGGAGGAAAGAAGATATCAACCTGTGATTCACCACCACCCCGGCAGGCCCACCAAAATGGATGGCTGCAGCAGTCAGATAAGAAGCCAGTCATGTCTTAGGCTGAAAGTGCTTGTCCAGTGGATTGCACTGATGCAGCATCCCTCACTGAACTGCCAGAGATGATACCACTTTTCATCTAACCCTGGGGTGCAGTATCATAGCCAGCCCCTCAGTATTCTGTACTGAATGCACACAAGTTTCTTTTTAGGCAGATATTAGAGAAGCTTGGAGTCAGAAAACTTTATAACCTCTGTAGTGACCATTGTAAAATTAATGGTTGTTTGGCCAAATAATCTCAGAAGTAGGCAATCATCCTTTAAGTATTCATGAAATGTTCTGAGTATGTAAGCCAGACGAACACAGAAATAATAAAAAATAGATTTAACAATAATAATAAAACAGACTTAAGGCTGAAAGTATGTATTTCATACTAGAGAGCAATATGCACAGGAAAAATGCAGAAATGAAACATACTATTGCAAAATCAAGGCCTTAAGAATGAAGATTAAATGTCAACATTATTTAGGCATGCTACTGTTCCAACATGACAGAAATGCATTATTGGATAGTCAGATAACATCACAGCTTCCATAAAGAGATTTCATGCAATAATTATGTGATTGTGATTAAGGCAAGTCGGTGCTGCAAAAGTGCAGTGTTGTGCCTGCGTGATTTCTAGAATAAAGTATCTGTTAACAGATAGTGGCACTATATTAAAAAAATCCCATTCAGTATAAGTTTAATTTAATACCTAATACCTAGTAAAACATTGAGGAGAAAGAATTATTTATTTCATATGAACACTAGATATACTTTTAAAAATTAAGGCTGAAATTTTCATGACTCAAGGAACTGGCCCTCAAAGAGAGCATCCAGTATCCCTGTACATCCCTGGATGTATACTAAGAACAGGATTTTCTTCTTTCTCCATATTCTAATGGGGTTGCAGCATTTTGCAGCTCACCAGACACTGATATTTAATTACTACATCAAGACAGCACTCAATGGTTCTACGGGTTTCTGCTTAAGCACTGGTAGAATTCCTTCATCACTTTCACCTCACCTTCTGGCAAAAGGCTGACGATTGGCAGTAAATTTATAAGGAGACAAAAGCCAGAAATACAAATGAAGAGAGACAGAGAAGTCAGAAAGTATACCTCTCTATGAGTTCTGAAGACTTTTATCATGCTTTTTATAATTAGATTTGATCCTTGGAAAAGAAATTTTGCTTGAGCAGGTGGGTTGGACTAGATGATCTCCAGCCTTGGCCATTCTGTGATTCTGTGTGATTCTGTGAATTATGAGTAAAAGGAATAGCAGACTTTTAAAAAGTGCCAAAGTACCAAATATTGTATTCCATTACCCCAAAGGACCAAAAAGACACTTTTCATTTTTGCTACGAAGCTAGTGCTGAGCCTTGGTCACATGTCATTAACAAAGATTCTATAGAAATACTGATTTCGGCTTCACTGTGAATTTTGTAATTGACATGATTGCATCTACTCATGAGAAGCATGGCCTAGTGAATCAAATGGCAGCTGGAAAGTTCCTGGATGGAAAGTAAGAATTCTGCTTTAAGAAAAATGGTAAAGTTTCAACATTTGGTTTCATTTTATGATAGAATGAAAATGACATCCTTTGAAATATTTAATTTAAAAAACAAGAGATAGTCTTTCCTCTTCTCCAAAACAGCCCACACCCCAGTGGTTAGGATGTTGGAGTGAAAACTGGCTGGAAGATTTTGGGTGAAGTGTATTTTACTGGAAAACAACAATTCATTAAAATGAGAAACAAATCTGTTCCTATGACAATGTTGTTGAAAGAATTTTCAGACACAGGGCAACATTTCTCGTGCAAGATGTAAGACTGTCCTTACAAAGAGATTTCAACTTAGTTCTCTATGATCCCTAATGAATTCCCCTGGAAAGATGACCATTAGATTTAGACTTGGTTTCCTGCTCTACCACAGACTTCCCATGTTATCATGGACAAGGTACTTTGGTCCAGATGCTTTAAAGGAATTGAATTTCTAAGTCCACTACGTATACACGTTTTTCCCAGTTTAACTGCATGGCCTAATCATGCAAAGCGTCAAAAGCACATGTCAAAGCAAGATATGGGAACACTAACTCTGGGAACAGAGTTAGTGGAAACAAATTCACGGTGATTGAGTACTGGTGGCGAAGGTTACTGGGAAGATGTGAGCAACCAAGGTTCAAGTTCATACTCTGCCCTCAAGACTGCAGACTTTGAGTCGTTGAATTGAGCACCTTGATATAACTGGCAACTCTGTTTTCTGATTCATTTTATAGAACAATCAAACTACATTTTAAAGATGTTTTTCCCAATAGCCCATATGACTGGGAACAGTTCCAGAACCTCACTGCTTTGATTGTCAAACAACCCTTTCCACACACTAATTGAATAGTACTAATTTACTATTTTACATTCACTTACCTATGTTGACTTTTAACTTAAATAGCTCCTTTCTTCACTGGAACTTGCATACCCGCTGAATTTAGAAGCAGAGATCATATTCCTTTGAAACATTTGTTCTTCTAAGTTAGACAACCCATCTCTTTTGCTAATCTATTGTAAATAAAGTTTTCTCTTTGCTGCGGCTTCCAGTAGCCCTGCTCCACACTTCTTCCAACATGAAATTTATCACTGCACTATATAAGTACATTAATATTTCTCTTTTTGTAGTAATACCTTGCTGGATGCATTCTAGGATCTGTTGCCTTTTCCCAATATAGAAAAGCACTGATGGCTCGGAGCCAGCCTGCAATTCTTTCTCAGGACCTGGTCTTTCTCTTCTCTTTATATTTGTCAGTGGATGAATGTCTAGAAGGGAGATAAAAGAATCTGTTTCAGGTCTATGAGCGTATGCCCTAATTTTGACCTATCAAATTTAAATCCATTTCTGTCACTTCAGTTTTCAAGTCATTTGCTTTCTCCTGTAATGCATAACTATCTGTCTGTATTTGACGATGCCATGTGTCATCAACAAATTTCATTTGCCCATTTTTAGCACTTGTGTCAGTTTCAATACTGAAAATGTTAAATAATATTGGCCTGGATCCTTGAGGAGCTCCAACTGTAAATTCTTTTCAGCCCAATCATCTGCCCTATTTAACACATACCCCTTCTGTTTCCCCTCACCCTCATAAAGTTTTCTGCACCAGTACATACTTACTTTTATGTTGGGCTATAGACTCAATCTCTGCTACTACTGCCGTTATTTATTTGAACAAGGTGGAGCGCTTCAGAGAGATAGAGAGATTCACTGCTGAGATGAGTCCTGTGATTAGAGTAGAAAAGATAAGACCAAGTTTCTGCTCCAAATTAATGTACCAGAGGCTTGAACGTGATCTCCTACACCACAGTAAGTAACAGAACTGGAAGACTATTCACTTCTCTTCGTAATTCTCTTTTTCTTATTGTTGCAGAAATATCTTTCTTAAGCAGATGCTATGGGATAAGTGTTTAATTCCAGGAGAGTGTTTAGAGCTGTGAAGTGCAAGAAAACTCCCAAATGCAACTGCAACAGCAAGCAGGGCCTCTAACTGAGAATAAAATTCCAGTGGTCAAACAGCTGTTAAGTTACGCACAGCAATCATCAGTGAAGTGCTTATATGTCTCTGAGGATATGTGCTTTAACCACTCTGTGAGGCAGCTGTCATTCTGCAGGGATAATGTACTTCCAGTGTATCCTGCTCACAAATTTTAGCCAGGTACAAAAAACTTCTGAATGTGCATTCATGTGCTGTATAAGTTGTATAAATTGTAGCATATGCAGAGTCAGAAAGATGGTCAAAATTCTGCAAAATTCTGCAAAATATTTTTTTAAAGTTTGATTGCATTCATTGTTTTATCTTCAAATCTCATACAACACAATCTAATGAAGTAGTAGAATATCCACTTTTGGCAGCTAGGAAAGCTACTGATATCTGGTTTTCTCGCCTTAATTTTCCTCTGTTTTAACATAAGCATTTTTCTAACATGAATGGATGCAGATTTTCCATTAAAAATTGTTAACAGTGGATGAGTAAATGTCTGCCAATGCTTCAGCCAGTTCATGAAGATTCCAGCTTCACGGTCTCGCCAACACAGCAATTAGGACCACATGTGCTAGAGAGGGAGTGGGAACCTGTGCATAGTGATGACAGTCCCATAAGGCCCTATGGCTGCCTTTCCACTCCCAAATTTCAATCTTTTTAAAACATATCTGCCTATTGTAGACTTTCTGGTGTGTGTGTTTTAAATTTCACAGTACTTCTTTCTATACTATTATTCATGTCTTCTTTGTGTATTCATATTAATGTCTTATTATGTCAGGTAAAGAGTCAGTTTTCAAATTATTTAATGCAAGACCAGTTGAAACATACTAATATTAAAGACATATATAGGGTGTGCCTGCACAGATAGATAGATAGGTAGTTATACGTGTATATATGTGTGTGTATGTGTGTATGTACGTACATATTAGAAAACTAAGCATATAAATGTTTATATCATGAATGACTCATAGGAATGGCAGCAGCTTTTGGAAACCTCTACAGCTCGGTCACTGGCTTTGTTTCAGTCCTGGTCCATGTGGAACATGTGTCACTCGTTTAGTAGTCTGTGTGAAATTTATCTGTAGTTATGGTCCAATTTCTTCTCAACAAATGTACGAATCACACTTGAATATCTAGATCTTAGTGATACATTTTGCAAAGGGTATCATAGCCTGAACGGGTATGGAAAACAAACTGTACTAAACCTGTAAACTTTAATAATGATTTGAGCAATCAAAATATGTTAATGGTAAGTGCATATACACAAATATATATATATATAGCTTGTGTCTGTCATTTAAGCATAAATCCAGGTGCAGGCGATAATAATATGATAGCAACAATTTGGGGGGAAAGGATCAATTTCCTAAAGTAGGATTAGATGTCACTGATATACAGACAGACTGTCCTCTGACCTTAAGAGCAAGATTACATAACTTTCAAGGAGCAACCCACCCTTGCTCAGTAACAACAAACATAGAAGAAGACAAGTGATTACTGAGTGATGGCACAATTTCTGAGGTGCTAGGGAACAGGCTGCACACACGTTTGAGCCAGGATGGAGGCATAAACACAAGCTGTTGGTACTGAGAGCAAAGGATTGCAAAGTTCCACAACTCACAGTTTGAAAGGTAGTTTTCAGGCTCTTCTATATTCCCTGGACAGGCTGTGCACTAGTCACCCTCGGGGCAGTAGTCAGGTGTGTCTAACTACAGTCGCTGTGCCCTTCAGAGGCCATCAGTGTAGCCTGAGATTTGCACAACACAGTCCTTGCAGCAGCCACCAGGCATGTTACGGCTTCTCTTATTAGTAAATAAGATGAGGCCAAAGTGTGGGCTCAAGTCCTCGTTTGAGGGGTTCTGCTTGGGGACAAGCAAGTTTGAGCTATAGGTCTTATTGCCAGAGAGCAGTCCTTGAGCTGGTTTTTGCTACTCTAGATGTTACCTTCAGATCTGCTTTACTGGCCACATTGCGTCAGGGTGCATTCCCACAATGAAGCGATGATCCAGTGGTTGACTAGGAAAATTTAGCTGGAATTTAGCTTTGTTCAGTGCTGCAGAACAAAGGACTCATAACACAGGCCATCACTGGGGTCGTGGAGACTTGCCTCAGGGTGCACTTTTCACTCTTCAGACAAGTACCAGAGCCACTGCAGTTACTGAGGCACTCCTCAGCAAACTGATCAGTATTTTGAACGATTTTCTTGAGTCAGTTCATGGTATTAAGCACTGCACTTGCAAGTGAGATTTTAGTGTGAAGCTCTTAATGTTTGTCACATACTCAAATAAATAAAATCATTAACATTGCACTGGTAATGTTCATCTGCATTCTCTCTCCTTTCATTTGGAGTCCAGAGCAGATAAGAAATGCCTGTAATATGCTGAACTACAGAAGCACAATATTTTGGTCAGGATGGGTGGTGCCAGAAAAAAAACCCTGACATCTAGCGACCGAAGGTTGGTAGGAACTGCAAATCTCAAAGGGCTGAAACCAGACTTAGTTTTTTAAGCCATGGCACCCTGCCAACAGGATGCAATTCTATTACAACATTGCAGTGAAGTGGTTAGGGTCAGAATTGCATTTAGGCAAAGTCATTGTTGGATAACTGCCCGTCCAGCTTCATTCATTCGCATACAGTACATATGTTTATAATGCATTTCAAGGCCTCTGTAACATGGACTTGAGACTGAGAGAGAGAACAATAAAGATTTAACTAACCAGCATAGCTGTTTTTTTTCCCAGACTCTGAACTCTATCCAGAAGACAGAGCCAGACATGGCTTGAGGAAAGAGCCCATAATCCAGAGAATGAAAGAAGAAGGTGGAGAGAAAAGGAGTTTTCGGGACATTAGTTAAGAAAAAAAAAATGCTCACATATGGGGCTAAGGAGTCTACAGATGCACACAATACGAAACCTTATCCTCAGCTTCAGGCATAAATTTCTCAGGAAATCGCTAACTTCCAGCATGGTCTCTGATATTGGTTTGCTAGTTACAGGAGCCCTGAACTTGTACTTTCTGTTCATATAGTGTTCTGCTGATGTATTAAAAAAATGAAATTACAATAGTCTTGTACAAGGATCCTAGCAGTCAAGAGGTACATGGCTGCAAAATTGACATGCTTGTAAGACACAGTTTTAAAAAAACCCTTCTGGGCATGGCTATGCTTTGATATGCAGTGCAGTCACAGATCTGATACATAAGGAGAGGCTGAGAAAGCTGGGACTATTTAACCTAAAGAGAAAGCTCAGAGGGGATCTTACCAGTGTGTATAAACACCAGATGGGGGCCAGGGGTAACAAAGGTGGAGCCAGATTATTCTCAGTGTTATCCAGTGACAGGACAAGAGGCAATGGGCACTAACTGAAATATGCAAAATTTCACTTAGAAATAGGAAAAGCCTTTATTTTGTGAAGGTGATCAAACACTGGAGCAGGATGCCCAGCAAAGCTGTAGTCTCCATCCTCAGAAATATTCAAAACCTGGCTGAAAGCAGCCCTGGGCAATCTGCTGTAGGTGACCCTGCTTGGGCAGGGGGTTGGAATAGATGATCTCCAGAGGTGCCTCTCAACCCCAGCTACTCTGCAATATGTGTGGTCTCTAAACTAGCAGTGAATTAGCAGCTCTAGAACAAAGCAGCAAGGCTGTGTTCGTGTAGTGCTGTGCTCAGCCTGCTCAGCAGCATTAACCCTTGCTCAGTGCCATCTAAAGCAGTTTTACTACTTCTAACACCCAAGCTGGCGTCTCTATATGCTGCTACACTAGAACATTTAGATGTGTCACCTCTTTGTGTGTCTTTATCAAGGGCTTCATTGCTCCGTGACAGTATCCCATATAAGGCCTTGTATATCTGAAAAATATCCTTCAGTTTGAGTTTTCTTCCTCTAGTGTTAACTGCTTTTTGTATAATATTCTGAAGTTCTAGGTCTAGAGCTCTTATGTTAGAGACGAAGAGACTGGGCACTGGAGAAAAATTTGCTTAAATGTAGTATTATTGTCTGATCGTGATACGATTAGTAAAATCATTTTTGTTGACGGGATTCCACATATTTGACACATTTTCTCCATTACAGAAACGTCACTATTTGCTGCAGAAATGTCAGCCAAATAATATGAAGTGATATCTTCCAATTGAGCTGGATTTTTTAAAATAACCACTCTTTCTATTAATCAGTTTTATGTACTTCAGAAAATACTGGCAGAAATATTTTACTTAACACGGGGAAATGTAGAAGATAAAACACACAGTTTTAATGCAGAAAACTCTTTCTGTGACAACTTTCTGTGGTATACCTTAAATCAAGTTACAGCATCAAGTTACACGGTTATTCCTATTGAAGTCACAGAGAAATAGGACAGGATTTCATGCATGAACTGTAATTGGCAAGACTTAAATGTCATGAATATTCATTTTACTTGGAATTAATGATGGAACAAAGATTTGTGAAATGCTGGTTTTGAGAAATATTTTGAGAATCTTCAGAACTATTCTAAGAGGCACACTCATTTTACCTATTTGGTAAAATTTTTGGCCTTGATTCTTGTCTCACAGTAACCTTGAACAGGATGGGACTTGCTAGGTCATTGAGTTTAGTTCTCTCTTAGTGTGAATGACTGCTTTATAATCCCCTACATTCATTTGCCCAGAGACATCTTCAATGTCTATCTTGCTTGCATTAGTCTAAATGAAAACCTACTCATTTTCCCAGTTACTGTTGTGTATGTAGGTATGTATACATGAAGTGCATCCTGTCACTTCTGTAGCACACCATTAGGACTGAAAAAGCAAGCTGGCTACAATAATACCAGCTAGCACCTACTTAACAGGGAAGCGCTACCCTTTGTGATTTAGAGCTTATCCAGTAAGACTGGCTGCAGCTGTGCATAAACAGGAAAACTCTGCAGCTGCTCTCCTGTCAGGTGATGTAGTCTGCAAGCTGGGCTGGCTGACATTAATGGGTGAGAGTTTCTCTTTGTGCTTAGAATAAATCTTCTGCTGACCATAAGCCTCATTCTGAAGTACATTATTACTTGCAGGCCATCACCGTGACATTAATCAACATTTTTTGAGTGACTTTTAAATAACGTATCCTTCTATTAAGAGGAATACTTTTAAACACCACCAACATATTTCTGGAGGGTGAAGTGTTGTTGCTTACAAGTTAATATCCACAAAGTATTTGCCTGGTGTTACATCTCATGGTATGTACTATACATTATTAAAAATATTCACCTGTTAAGTTGTGTGTGTCTGTCTTTTGAGCAATAGCATGCCCCGATCATAACTTGAAATGAAGAAGTTGCTATAAACACTGATCTAAGCACTAGCTGGCACATACTGTTGAGACAAAAATATAGGAGTCTGAATATATTTTTATAATGTTATGTTGGTAAAGAAATGTCAAGAAATGACACCATAAGAAAAAAAATGGATATTTTCACAGGGTCAATACACTCAGCTATCCTGTATTTAATTTTCATGAATGCGTGGAACAAGCAGTGTCTAGAATGGGCACCTTGACGAGCATGGCATCACTGAAAGTTGGAGGTACCTTTCTTTGCATGCAATGAATCTTTCCTGTTTAAGTACTGTGAAAACCATCGTTACAGCTTTCATCAATGTTTAAGCACTCTGGAGAGGCATTTTAATCCCTATATACAGCTGCGACAAATATATCACAGATAACTGAAAGGACCTCCTTAAAATTACCTAGCAAGTCAGCAGCAAAGTTGGCGGCAGTGGATTCCTCTCTGAAGATATTCTGTTTCTCCAGACATGCTCTTTCCCAAAATGCTGTCACATTGAAAACATTCCCAACCATCATTTCCTTTGCTTACCTTCTTGGTCAGATCCTCATGGGTAGGTACAAGATTGTCCTTTCAGGATTAGGCAGCCTGGAGTGATGCAAACAGAAGCATTCCTAAGCATTTCGCTGATTTTGTGGCTGCCTGGATTTCTGTGTTTAGGAGACAGAGAAAAACAACTATGCACACATTATTCTATGCAGTGGTTAATGAATTATGGTCAATTAATTATTAGTGACTAGATTTTATCTACTCCTTCCCTAGATAATTTTATAATTGCTTCAGATTGTAGAAACTACATTTTTGGGATTTTTTTGTCTTGTACTATGTGTGCACATCTAGCCAGCTATATACCTTTAATGCAACTTGA